TTTCCTTTGCTGAACAAGGCAAGAGAAAAAGAGTGAAAAGAAAGCAACCTTTATATTGATGGTCAGGTCAGAACTTTCTAAGAAGATTTATTTACTGAAATTGGCCCTCAGCAGGCCTGTTCTTGAAATCATTCCTCAGAGATCAGGATGGAAGAGAGCTTGGACAAAGCCTTGTTTTTACTTCCCACACAATCTAGACTTCAAGAAAGAAGTTGCCTTCTCAGTTATATACAACAGAACACAGTTCTTCTGTAATGTGCTTTGGCAAGGGGAGGTCTGTGGTTATCACACAGACGACTTGAAGATTTAAGAGAAACACTCCCTTCCTATTCCACAGCATGAGTGATGAGAAAAAGTCCAGCTAAGGAAGTTCAAGAACATTAGTGGGGGAGGACCCTGAACAAAGTAGATGGTGGTGGGAAGTGGTTCCCCATGCCTCTTAATGTTGTTAAATCTATACAGTCCCAACCAAAGGTATGTTCCCTATAAAAAATAGAAAGATTAGAAACATATATTTAGCATGGTTCACAATTCTTCTGACGTACCTCAAGTGAGTAGTGGTTGACTCTCTCTTATGCAAAATGCTTGGGACCAGCAGTGTTTTGGATTTCAGAATTTTTTATTTTATTTTAGAATACCTATTTTGCATATATGTACATAATGAGATATCTTGGAGATGAGACCCTGGTCTAAATACAAAATTAATTTATGTTTCATATACATCTCATACATATAACTTGAATGTAACTTTATACAGTATTTTAAATAATTTTGTGCATAAAACAAAGTTTGTGTACATCAGAAAGCAAAAAAGTCACTATCTCAGCCACCCATGAAAAATGTTTTGGTTTTTGAAATGTTTTGGATTTCAGAATGCCAGATAAGGGAGACTCAACCTGTACAACAAAATAAAACAATCTCCATCCCCAGGTTAACATATTACACAAGTACCTTGAATTCTGGGACCTTCAAAGTGCAAAGGGTGAAGGTAACTGATTCAAAAGTGAGAGAAGGAATGCTTTATAAAAGCCCACAACCCTCCTTGCAATATATGGTGGACAGCCCAAAGAGAAGCAAGAGAGAAATGGTAGCAGAAGATGTTTATCCAAAATGCCAACAATAGGTAGGGATCATGCCCTCTAATTATTAACTAATGCACAACATGTTTCATGAACTGGACAAGAAGAGGATGCAATATTGGACAGGAAAACTATACCTAGCAGGAGAGGGAATGAAGGAATCAGTGAGAAGGGAATAAAAAGTTCTCTGAACATCTTGGGATGACAGCTATAATGGCCTCTTTAAATCAAATGAATAGGGAAGTACACAGAACTTTGTATCAAGGAGGGAGGAGGTGATTTAACGCAGAGAGTAATTGAAAGCAAAATAGAGCTAACATAAAACAGGGAAGCAAATGAAAAAGGGGCTTTAGTCCATGGAAAAATCATTACTCCCAGTTACAGTATCCAGAGGGGAAAGAATCCTGAACTTCACTAAACAGAGAGGCTGTATTTTATTTAATCTGTTTGTTACAGTAAAATGATTCTGTATAGCAAAGCAACAGGCAAGAACAGCATGCTACCCAGACCACATGCACATTACAATTTTGTTGACTGAATTCTTTCCTCAGTGAATGTTCTTAGCACTCTAATTTTTTTATTAAGTACATCCCCAAGTCCCCCTTGTTAAAAACTCAACATAAGGAACTATCTAAATGCAGCCCTGATAATGTTCTCAACTGTGCATTACCTTTTAGAAGACAAGATTCTTAAATTCTAAATTTCACTTCTGTACCAAATCTGAAAAACTCTGAAGTGAGTTATTCACAATGGGATTTAGGTACTATATATACACAGAACAGAGCCTTCCATTCTCAAAATGGGAACATCTAATGTATGCCACAGTTTAACGCAACTGTTTTCAGATCAAATGTGTGCAGTACGGGTAAAGTATCCCTTATCCAAAATGCTTGGGACCAGAAGTGTTATACAATTTATACAAGAGCCTAAAGGTAATTTTGTACAATATTTTAAAATATTTTTGTGCAGGAAGCAAAGTTTGTGTACATTGAACTATAAAAATGCAAAGGCGAAAACAGTTTTGGTTTTTGGAGTATTTTTGGATTCTGGAATTCCAAATAGGGGAAACTCAACCTGTACCTCTACTGAGTTAATGTTGTAAAATAGGGAATTTACAGTGGTCCAAAACACACTGCAGAAATAATCCAGTTTGAGACCACTTTAACTGCCATGACTCAATGCTAAGAAATCCTGGAAATAGTAGTTTATTGTGGCACCAGAGCTTGCTGAGAGAGAAGGCTAAATGTATCACAAAACTACAGTTCCCAGAATTCCCTAGCATTGAGCTAGGGCAGTTAAAGCAGTTTCAAACTGGATTACTTCTGCAGTATGTTTTCGACCAGTGACACTGCAAATGAACAAGACAGAGATTCAGTGGTATGCATAAGGTCTTGTCTACAAAATCCACAGTGTAACTGAACACTAGTCAGTTTTGGAATTCATACACAGACATTTTACAGTCCATTCATTTAAGATCTGTAAGTTGATCTGTGTGAAAGCCATGAGCAAACATATTAATTCTGTAATTTCAAAACAGTGATAATAATAATCCAGATGAGTTGCAAAACAGCTATTAAAAGAATACAAGTACATTTATCCACAAGAAAAGATGCACAATATTTAAAAATCCATTCTTCCACTTACCTTCTTGACTTTTGGGTACAGCCTCAGTCACTCCTACTGCCTGTACTTTTGGTTCTGGTGGCAGGTGCTGGTTGGTTGAGAAAGGCTCCACATTTTCAATATGCTTGGCAGGGGGTACTGGGACCTCTGAAGATTTTGTTACCTGGATTTCCACACGTTTGGTAGCAACATCAGGCATAGATGGACTAGTGGCTTCAACTCTACGCTGTGTTGGCTCTGGAATCTTTGTGGGAACATCCATTCTGCGAAGCGCTTGGTCCTGAGGCTTACCTATACTGATCTCAGTCCTTCTGGGAGCGGTCTCTGGGGGCTTGTGTCCCAACACATCTGCTCTCTTCAGACCAAATCTTGAGGCTCCTGCAGTGGAATTCTCCACCTGCTTAGATGAGATATCAATGGAGATCTCTGTTCTTCTGGACACCGTTTCAGGATGTTTTGGCCCAGAGAGCTCAACTCTTCTCAAAGAGGACTTGGGAGACCTTTGTGCAGGAGGCTCCACATGTCTGGAAGGACTTTCTGAATTCCTGGCACCAAGATCCTGGAATTTCTGTGTGGAGCTGGATACTGTAGACCGAACAAGAGTGTTGGGTGTCCGTCTTTGTGGAGTGGAAGAATTTGGTGGCTGGTCTACCTCTTCAACTTCAAAGGATCTCTTCAGAGCTGAAAGATATAAATGTAAACAAGTTTTGAAAATACAATCAAGCTTATGAGGTTAATGGTCTTTAGAGATGCAAGCGACTTCAGCTTCCTAAGCCAGTTAATTATTCAACAAAGTCACATTCTATTGTATGATGCCTCCTGAACCCCTTCTCTCTAATAACTGAAATCATGCCTTGAACATGAAATTACCTGGAGGCTTGTTCCTATTATGCTGAGCCTTGAGGAAGCTACAAAAGGAGCTAGACATCTCGCCAAATGTCTCCAAAGAAAGCCAGGAGAGTCTCTGCCCAGCTAGAGGCTCCAAAGATGGTCATGAGTTCTCAGTGGATTCAAATATGAGCAAATGCCTGGGCTGAGATGGGATAATTTGTTGGAATCTTTATTAGTTATACTTATCTGAGTTTGAAATTTGCCCTTCTCCACTTGTTAAATTAATGGTCTCTGAGAGCCAAACTGTGTAACACTGGTCAGGTTTGTTCTCAAGGTTGTGGTTGGTTAAATTCTAGCTTGTTACTGTGTCAGTAAAAACCAAAATTAAAAGCCTTTCTTTGTTATTGGCTTATAAACCATTTTGAACATAGCTTGTCCTTAAATCTGGAACCAGAACTGTGGCTTATCTCGGCTTATTTCTCTAGCTATCTACCTAAAACAGGTGCTGAGAATGATGCTGGAAAAAGAACAGACCAAATACGGGACAAACAAACTGTGATTGGTTCAGTTACCTACAGGAAAATTAAAGTCTAAAGCACTGACTGAGAGTCAGTCAGGTTTGAGTCTTGGACCACAACTCTGGAGAGTTCAGGGTTCAATTCCCAGCTCTGCCATGTAAACCAAGTAGGTGACCCCAGGCTTTCAGCCTCAGGGGAAGGCAATGGCAAACTTTATCTGAAGCACTCTTGCCAAGAAAACCCCATGATAGAGTCATTTTAAGATTCCCATAAGTCTGAAATGGCTTGAAGGCACCCATCATCAACAACAAAGCACAGACTACAGTTCCCATGGTGCATAATCAAAATTCAGGAGAATTTCAAAGCCACTAGATTTTGGCTCAAGGGTGTAGAAAGGGTGGGCAAAATGAAGAGGTTGCTTCTCCCAAATAAGAATTCTTCCTCCCATGAGGTTTTTCCTCAGCCTTCAGATTTCTAGCTCATGGCAAGGCTGGCTTAAAAAGCCACTCTGACATCACCAGAGTTGGGATACCAATGCTAAAGACATCCAGATGGAGGATACTGAATGCTGTCTACTTAAGTATGTGTGTACCATAAAACCAGCCCTCAGATTTTGTTTTGAATCTCTTCCTCAACTCAGAGCTGCCCAAATATGTACTTGTGTGTTAAAGCTAAGTGCACTTGCTTATTTACAAACACAGAGCAACTATAAGATTAGCTTCAGGCCAGTGTTCCACATTTTTAACATGCAAGTAGCACACATCTAACTGAGTAACCATTCCCAAGTCTGTTGTGGAATACAATGGATCATACACACAGAATCATAACCACATTTAGAGATAAAGAATGACTGTAAGCATAACTTGGACACAGGAACAATTCATATTTTCAGAGAGTGCAGCTCAGCAAAATCAAAACTGCAGAAAATAGATCATTCATTATTAGAACCAGCATAGTGCAGTGGTTTCTGTGTTGGACTGCAATTCTGGAGAGCAGGGTTCGATTCCCTGCTGAGCCATGAAACCTACTGGGTGTCCTTGGGCAAGTCCATACTCTCAGTTTTAGGGGAAAGCAATGGCAAACCTCCTCTGAACAAATTTTTCCAAGAAAATCCTATGAGCAGTCAGGGCAAGATAGGCATCTAAAGAGAGGGAGACTGGCAGTGCACCATGCCGAGCATTTTTCCACATCTGGAGATTTGGCCAAAAGGATGAGAGAGCAGGTAAAGGTAAAGTCAGAAAGGAAGAAAGTAACATTCTTCTTACACCACTGCTGGGACAGATGGACAAATGGTCTGACTCAGCATAAGAGATTCTACATGTGTCAACATAAAAAACAATGCTGAGCCATCTTACTCAATGGTCTGAAATCCAAGTAGCTTAAGCCGATATCCCCAATTGTTCATTTGAACAATATATATCTACAATGCATTTAAAGAAAGTAATTACATTGCACAGAGATCCAAACAGATCTTCCAGCAATGGTACATTTCCTCATAAGGTGGTTAAGTAGAAATCCTACCACAAATAACAGAAAAGAAATGAAAACTGAGGCAGGACAATGCTATAATTGATTTTTACTTGCCACACTTGGCAAGTAAATTTATATTTAAATTATGGGCTACTTCCTTATTGGCCCATCATATCATTTCCAGCATTGTGAAGTCCAAGGCTTTCATGGCCAGCATCCATTTCCAGCATTGTCTTATATTTAACAAACATCTGGAAGCCATAAGTCAGAAGGAGGAAGCCTCAAAGCCACACACTTACAGGATATTTAGGATAGCATCTGCACTAGCAAGGCAGTTACTGTGGTATTACAATGGTGTGTTGCTGGTAACAGTATCTGAGCAGCACTCAGCAGCGAAGCCTGGAAACATCACAGCCTGCTTGCAGAATTATACCTAACCTTCCTGGTTTGTGCATTACCACCAATTAAGATAAATGGCTGTTTACTTACTGCATTTGCTAGGTAATGAGACACATTATCTTTTCAAAGAGGTTAAGTGTCTGCTCAGATAAAACTACCTCTCAGAAAACATCAGATCTTTATTGCTATCAAATGAAGACAACAGCACAGTGAGTAATGAGGGTTTCAAAAGCACTGAGCAATAAGCTAAAAGGAACCCCAGAGACAAGCGCCACAGAATTTCAACAAATGAGTTAATGAGGCAATAGTATTGTGCATTCTTATAAACTAGGGATGAACAAACCTAGCCTTGGGAAGTTTGTAAATCAATCTCAGTTATTTCTGTAAAATGTTTGAATGGGAACCTGCACTCCAATCTGATCTTGAGGGGGGGGGGAACCCCATAGATATGAGCTGTAGTGTACTGGGGGAGTGAGGTGGAGGTCTAAGAGGAAAGTGGCTAGGAATTAGTTATGCTGCTTCAAAAAGAAAGGGTGAGGAGAAAGAAAGAGTCCATAAAAATGGGAAGGGAAAGAAGTTGAAAGAACTTCTTTTTCTCTGAAGATGCTAGCCACAGATGCTGGTGAAATGTCAGAAACTCTTCTAGAACATGGCCACACAGCCTGAAAAAACCCACCAAAAAACTATGGATGCCGGCCATGAAAGCCTACAACTTCACATTCAAGTTGAAAGAAGTCGAATTGCCTTTACAGACTGCCAGAAATAGTGCAGCTTGAGGCCACTTTAACTGTCCTGGCTCAGTGGTAAAGAATCGTGGAAACTGTAGTTTATTGTAGATGTACCTGGGACACATGAGAACCATGTGTTCTTAGTGGGAAGGGAGCTGGAACTAGGACTTGATGAAGGATAAGAAAAGCAGAAGGGTCTTTGGGCAAGGAACCAACAGAGTGCATGAGAGACAGAGGAGGCAAGGGAGAGGAACACAGATTTCTCAGACTGATTTGGAATGACTTCACCAATATTTTGGCTGCAGGGTTTTATGTAATTTTGAATTATGGCATGGCAGAAGCCTCCCATTCCCACAGTATATTCCAATCCAAATGGTTCTGCTTAGCTTCTACTCAACCTGGAATTTTGTCAAAAGGTGTACATAGCCCAGAACCTGGAAGTGATGAGATGCAAATTACTATTTACCTCTAAAGGCATGTCTACATAGGTCAATTGCAACAGTTTTCCCACCCCTTCCCCTCACTGCAACCTGTTTACACCATGCAAAGTCAAAGCTCCGATTCAAGTGCGGTCTGTCTTCATGAGAGAAGGCTTGTTCTTCACTGAATCCACCCTATTCCTGTTTAAATCTGATTTAAAAACCTCTAAATTTTGCAGGAAAATCCATAGCACCCCATGCCATGTCATAACAGGGCATCCATGTGATTAGACATTGGGCACTTCATTTCTAACTTCAGAGGGAGCAACTCACACCAGTGGCAGTAGTGCCAGGTGGCACAGCAGGACACATAATTCTGAGCAGCCCAGATTATTCTGGCTGGTGTAGACAAGCTCTAAGTGGTTCCTTTCCCCCAAACTAAAGGTATTGTTGTTGTTGTTGTTGAGTGCCTTCAAGTTGGTTCTGACATATGGCAACTCAAAGGTGACCCTATTACATGGTTTTCTTACCAAGATTTGCTCACAAGGGGTTTGCCCCTGCCTTCCTCTGAGGCTGAGGGAGTGTAACGTGACCAAGGTTACCCAGTAGGTTTCCATGGCCAAGTAGGGATTCAAAGCCTGGCCACCAGAGTCATAGTCCAACACTCAAACCATGTTGGCTCAAAGGTATAATTATGTTACTATTGTAACTTAATTAGGGATAATTTTGATGCCTTTTACAGTTTAACAACTTTTAGATATCTGTGTCATTATGGGGGTATGGCCTCACAAGGATCAAGTGGTACCTCATGCTGTACCTCTGTGCTCTGTTGTAGTTGTTTTAGAAGCAACATGGTAGATGAGAGCATTCCAATTTAATTTAAAGTAATGAGAATAACACTTTCAATAACAATTAAGTAATGGGAAAAGTATTTCTACTGTTATAAGCTACAACTGTAATGGCAACTAACTGCTTTTGGTGGGATTTAGAACTATAACGGTAACTAATTACTTTCAAAATAACTTTCTAAGCTCTGGTACTGACACAGAACCCCATAAACAAGGAGCAATTCCACTGAAAACCACAACTGTATGTCTGTGTGACAGAAGATACATCTACAATGCAGAAATAATCCAGTTTGACACAGCTTTAAGTTCTGTCCCTCCATCCTTTGGAATCCTGGGATTTGTAGTTATACAAGGTCTTTAACCTTCTCTGCCAAAGAGTGCTGGTGCCTCACAAAACTACAGATCCCAGGATTCTGGAGCCACAGCAGTTCAAAGTGGTGTCAAACTGCAATATTTCTACAGTACAGATGCACCCTGAGAAAGACAGAGAAAAGTAATGAGAGCCACTGACATCTGGGCCTTAGATGGGTTTTGTGATTTCAAGAAGAGAGGAGTATGGAGCTTTCAAATCCTCTTGATCACACAACTTGCTTTTTCTAATGAAGACAATTTGGGCCGAACAGTTTCCTTTGGATATGTCCTCTTTAGATTTCAGCTGTTTTTGTTCATGATGTCCTACCATGTGTTCCCACCGCTTGTTCTTGCACTATTGGCATTTGCATCCAGCCCTTTCCTAAACCCATAGGCCCAAGGAGAATAATTCCCACAATGCTGGACTTCATCCTGCATTCCTCTGGGGCAATCAAATCTACACTTTATGAAGCAATCACTAGTAGGAAAATGCACATTTGTCAGGGATAATGCCTCCAAGCCTCTGGCTCAGCACAGAAAGTGGAGGGCACCTGTGGACACCGATGTGGACAAATCAATTCTAGGACAGCCATTCTAGGAGAGATTTTGCCTGATCCCTCTCATGTTTCAGAAGGTCAAATATTTCATTCTCCCAGGATGGAAGAAGGAGAGTAGCAAATGGGATGTATATTTTTTTGACAGTCAGCAGAGGAAAATACTTTAGACAAGCTTCTCCTCCCACCCGCCATAAAACTTGAGGGAAGTAAAGATTATCCTGGATCAAAGCTGCCTCAGTCCCTTGACCAAACTTTGCCTTCCTCCAATTTCTGCTAGCATTGCTAAACAGAAGGCTTGCCTATCCCCCTCTTTTTCTGATCCAGCCCTCCCTTATTCTAGAAGTTCAGTTGAAAAGAAAAGAATGAATGAACAGAAGAAAAAATTCAGGAAGTATCACATGATGAAGAGGGAGCTTTTTAAAAAATAGCTCCTGGGTTAATAAAAGGGAAGTATTCCCCACTCAAGCATAAAAACCCACCGGGTGACCTTGAGCAAGTCACTCTCTCTCAGCATCAGAGGATGGCAATGGCAAACTGCCTCTGAAGAAACTTCCCAAGAAAACCCATGATAGGTTTGCCTTCATAAGAAATTACTAGAAGGCAAACAACAAAAACAGAGGGTGCTCTTGTGGGTTCTGCCTCTTGACCTCCTCACTGGATGTTGGGGCCCTGGCATCCTAAACAAAGCCAGACCAAGTACTGGACCACCTTTCATCTCCAGCCAAGGCTCTCTCTTGCGCTGTTGCCGAACCCTACCAAAGTTGTGTGGTTTGTTCTCAAACCCCCAGTCACTGAAGTCATATGCTTCCAGGCTTGTTTTTCAAATTGATAACAACAAGGTATGATCAGTGAAGCACAATCAGTGGGCAGATTTCTCACATTTAAACAGTTTTATGGCAGCTACATAAGAGAAGAGGAGATCTGATTGGAAGAGTGATTGCAGGGAAAAGGTTTGAAAGACATAGCTGTGTTTCTCTGTTTCAGCATAAGAAAATATAATGGAATCCTGTAGCACTTTCTTGAGCCAGCAAAAATAATAATAATAATTGTATTATTTGTTTTTGTGGACTCCAGTTTAGTGCCTCATGCACTACTCACTTTATCTGGGCCTGTAGGGCTGAGAGGAAGAAGAGCGGATGCCATCTGCACTTGTCAAAGATGGACCCCTGCAGCATCTGATATGTACTTTTGAGGCCATTTTGCTGCATCCCAAAATGCTTGGGGGGGGGGGAGTCAGTTGTTTGTG